ATTTTGGGGGCTGTTCTTTTATTAAGCTTCCCCCCCCCCTTTTTTTTTTTTTTTAAATCTTGTATCTAGGCCCTCACACTGCTGATCAAGGCAGCTGCATCATCTTTTCCCCCTGAAAGATGAGTTTAGGTTATTTTTGACTAGAGTTTGCCTACATATGTCAACTTTATTTTTTTCTTACTCATTTCTTAAGCAAACAGTTCAAATATCCCAAAGGAATGCTACCGATTTCTAGCTTAAGATCAGTTGACGTAAGCTCACTCAAGTGGTTAAGTGTCATTTGACCAAAAAAATTTAGAGTCTTCTTCACAGAAGGAAGTTTCACAAAGAGAAAGTAGAAGCTGGAAAGAGACAAACAGCAAAATAGCAGAATCAAGTTTGCAGAGTTTCAGCTTGAGCACAAGCTCAGAAAACAGGCCAGTTCAACACATGGTTTTGAAGGAAAGAGAGAAGTTGTCATACTGGAATTAGGCCTAGATGTTTAAGGGTTTCAAGCTAACTAACTGCTTGAATATGTACACATCACCAAATAATTCAGATTCATGACTTTGTACTGAATCCTCTAACTTGCTTCAGTATGACACACAGGGACAGCATGATTCAACAGTAATAATGAATTTCCTTCTGCCTGCAGAGTGTAATAGGATGGTACAAATTCAGACGTAACACAGACCAGACCATGACATTCCGGGAAAGACTTCTTCATAAGAATTTACAGTCACACCTATCAAATCAGGGCCTTGTATTCCTTTTATTAACCTCTAGCGTGATGACAGAAACTTGTTCTACTTACAGACTGGAACATGCCTTACATCGGCCACAAGAAGGGTAACTGGTTTGTTCTCTAGTTTAATAAAGCAGTAGCACAGCATGTGCTATAACTTGGAACAGTTTGGTTTTTTTCTTTGTTGCAACTGGATTGTTAACACTGTTTTACCCTTGAAACTTACACATTAAATAAGATTATTCCTTACATTGCTAGATAGAGCCCAGTTGAAATCTTACCCTGCAATTCTGTTCAGGGATTTGCCTTTATAGCTATCTGTAGTGCCAGTGTCAACAGGCAGACACTGTCCGTTCATTTATGCACATAAGCTGTTCTTGAGCAATTTGTTTTTGTGTATAGGACTTCAACTATGCATGGTGTTCATCTCCACATATCATTGGAATATTTAAATTGGTAGTAATTTTCTGTTATCTTCAGAGACACACTGCCCATAGGCTAGGCTTAACATGCAAGTATTGCATTGTGTGACTTGTACCCAGAAATGGGGGAAAAAACTAGTGCATTGCTCAGAGTCTTGTTGCTCTTGCAGTTTGCCTTTAGCCATAAGTAGTCATCTATGTGTGATGGGATACATTTAGCAAGAACTAACTGTAAACCTCCATCTGGGATGCTTAATGGTCAAGAACCTTTAACTATCAGAGAGAGGCCTTTGGATGTTAATAAATCATGTTCTCATACTTCTGCTTTTTAAGTCTTTTCCAGAAAGTTCCTTTGGTGGTTACCAACTTGGGTATGGCAGAACAGCAAGGTTACAGAACAGTGTCTGGTTCCTGTGTATCTTCTGGTTTTGTGAGATCAGTAATACAACACAGGTACAATATATGCCATATTTACCAACAGCTGTAGCTTTCAGTTAAGTATAATTATCTTTCTATAAAAGTATTATTTTAAGTGCTTTTTGCAAATGCTCCAGCTGTACCCTGCTAACTTGTTGACCTGTTTCCTGCAGTTTACCTTTCCAAGGTACTTAGAAATAAGTTAGGTCCCATACTTTGCCATGAGAGCAGCTGGCTGTCTCAACATAAGCACCTAGTGTTGAAGCTCAAAATGCTTCTTTATTCATTATAGCTCCTACTAAGTAAGCACTGGGATCATTAACTTGCAATTATACAATTTATTCTTGGTCCACAGGTCAGAATTCTTTTACGAAGACGGATCCTTACAAGAGGTTCATAAGATAAATGAGATGTATGCCACCTTGCAGGAGGAACTGAAGGTAAGTCAGGCATACCTGCTGATGCTGTTACTTTCGGCAGTACTACAAAACTAAGTCAAGCAAAGGGTACACCATTTTGCACTAAATGAGAAACAAACCTGCATCTTGGAAGCACATATTGAAAGATCAGGGAGTTTCTACAGTTAGTAGCTGTAGACTAAGTTCTCAAAGTTGAAGACTTAAGTTTCCATTTGATCAAAAGTACACTGATAAATCCTCAAGTCGACTGGTAAATTCTCACAAGAGGATTGTTTTGAAGGAGCACTATCTTTAGCTTGTCAGAACTCCTTTGCTTAGATGGGAACAAGTAAAACATCTTGCACCTCATTCAACACAAGGTTTAAGTTATCATCTCTAAAATCGACCTCAAGCTCATTACTTAAGCTTTTTAATACTTTGTGTCCAACTTTTAAAATCATTAGTACCTTTAAGGATTTTGCAACAAGGTTAAAGTCAGCTTCTGTGAATACTGTTAATTCCATCAAATACTCTTTTCCTTGCAGAAAATATGCTCTACAGTAGAAGCCAGTGAACGATCTGTAGAGAAACTCTTAGCAGAGGTGAGCCAATTAAAAGAAGAAATAAAGAGGAAAAAGCAACAAAGTTGTTCTGGTAAGTTAAATAAATGCAATGCCAGTCTTAGTAACACTTCCAAAGTTGATTCAATTGGCAGAAGCACAAAACACTTCTGAACTTGAGGCAGCCAAAACAGTAGTGGTAGAAGTGTGCAAGAGGGACTGCAACTCTAGCTTTTTTTTTTCCAGGAGAAGACAGAGACTACCCAGGAGAGCCAAAGGAGAATGTTCTCCTTTGTCAGGCACTGCAAACATTTTTCCCCAATTCTGGACTTCAGACATGTGTTGTTTCCTTTAAAGGCCGGCAGATACCCAAGAACTGCTGTAACATTGACCATAATATTAATGTCATGGACAAACTGACTCTCATGGTAGAGGAAAGAGACTTCACTGAAGCTGAAACAAGACACTTAACCAAGCGAAAAGTCAGAGGGACCACAACAGGGTCAAAGTCATTCAAGAAATCCAGATCACTGCAGCTTCACCAAAAATTACTTCAAGACCAAGAGGACAGCGACCAGGAAAGGAAGCTTATGCTGAGTAGCACTGAAACAGATGAGGACATGTTGGAAAAAGTTAGAGACACAAATGAATACCCACACTCTCCTACTTTCTGATCTGTCAATGATTTTCCAGATGACTTTGCACCAAAAGCTGCTGCCAGCATATTCAAGTGACATACCAATTTATAGCACTGCAGGGACAAAAAAAACAAGTGCATTTTTGCACGACATACAGGTTTGTTTTTTCCCCCCCCAATGCATGAATCCTGTTCAGCATAGACAAGTCCGGATGATATTCCCTCATTTTGCCTTCTGGAGTTAAATCTGTATTCACTCTCTCAGGGTTTAAAGACTATGCTAGCAGGATGTTAGTGGTCATATAACCATGTCATACTGCTTCAGAGTAATACAACTTCAAGCTGCTGTTGAAGCAGTACTACCCTTCCCTCAGCAGAAGCTGAGGCAGGGAACATCAAATGAACGCATGTAACATGCTTAAAAGAATTAGCAGTCTACATAAATTGCCACAATTTTAATACTTTCATTTATCCTTAGCCATCCACTACTTGTTTTTTTCACACACACACCCTTCCAATCCAGCAAGGGAAGAACAGGCACCTGAACTCTACCAAGGCCTGTGAGCAGAGGAAGTGGTCCATATAGTTGCCGATTTCTATTACTGCTTTCATCTTTCATACTTCCTTCAGACAATTTTAGAGACTTGACACTTCATAAGAAAAGCAACTGACATCCACCCTTCAGTCAGTGATGCATTATGCTAGCCAACCGCACTTCCAGTAAACAAATATATAAACATGAAAAGTAGTTTTATTGTTTATTTCTTTATAGTATATTACTCTGGATACTTGACATTACATATCTTGGGGTCTGTGAGAAATGATGGGTTCTTAAACATAACTGGCATAAATCCTGTAAAAAGAGAAGATGGAGGAGTTTTTTTTAATAGGAAAGTAGGCTTGACTTACAAAACTCAAAAGCATAATCATACTTACCAAATACATGAGCTCTTTTAATGGCTTTTGTAATTTCCTTCTGCTTCTTGTTGCACAAGCCTAAAGAGAGAATCATTTTCAGTCTCAAATCAACAATAACCAAATCATTAGTTTCAAGGGTGAAAGTGATATTACTGACAATTCCCTTTAGCTTTGTCTAAGTCTTCCTAGAAAAATGCATGTGTGCTTATACTGTTAAATACAAAAAAGCATATAATTAAGAGATATTTTCATTCCTTGATGAAGGCTACTAAGTCAGAGGAATACTATTACAAAATGTATGGAGTTGGCAGCAGTTACATTTGGAAAGATAGCTGATACACCATTACTTGGACTCACAAGAAGATTAACATTAACCAGTAAATGATTTAATTTAATATTTCACATACCTGTTATATGCCTGCCATAAATGCAGCCAGTATGCGGAGAAACAAACTGGGAAAGAAGCTATTTAAAATTAAGAAATCCAAAGTCAGTTTAAGAATTTTTACAGAGCTTTAGTTTCTTTTACTACTTGCATTCTGTTTTTCATTTTTTTATCTGTTTCTACAAAACTCAGTTCTACCTGGAGACAAGACAAAGTATAGCTTGGAGTTAGACAGTATTTTATATGCCATAATATTTAAGCTATATGACAGCAGAATTAGAATTGAGGACTCCATTTGGTAAACAACCAAGTTGTAACACCTGCACATAGGACTAGTAGATTGAACAGCTTATCACAACTACATTATTTGACCCTTATCTGCACACATTCTGACTCTTAAGTTTTAAACCCCTACACATACGAATGAATCTCATTTTTTATCCTTGTGGACTTCCTACACACACATTTAAAAATAGTAAACCTGTTACCTTCATCTAAGGACATTTCAAACTCACCTGCACATTCTTGTAGTCCACATTTATTCCACATAAGACACATTTTTTAGGAGGCTCTTTATAGGGGTTCTCCATTTGTATGGGCTGAAATTAGAGAACTAACATCTGTAAGCTTCACAAGAAAATATGGAATGTTTGTTATTTTTATCCTTTGGGCAAAACATGCCTTGAAACCAAAAGAGGTTTAGTGCATCATTGAAATTTTTCAATAACTTCTCTCTTTCTCTAACACACTGATTGGTACCTAACAATCTAAAGACTTCTCACAGCTACGCTGCCTTTTAGTAACAATGACAATGTAACAAGTCAATTAAAGCAATCAGTAAGATGCTGCTTACACCCTCTACTTAGGCAAAGGCAGTATCTACAGAAGCCAGTAGTAAGGTAGTTCTGTCCGGTAAAGCTCAAGAGACTTTTTTTGAAAATAATGTCAAAGCAAATGGCCTGAGGGAGCTCCTGTCTGCTCACACACTTTAACAAGAGAGATTCCCAACTATCTCCCAAGCCCTGAAAGGCTCCTTAGGCTTCAGAACACACCCAGCACCAAATCCTTACAAGGTACGAGTGAAAGGAGAAATTTCATGTTTGCAGACATAGGTAGAATTTGGGCAGGGAAAGAGTATTTTCAGAAGTTTTTGCTGGTACCAGACAACACATTTTTATGACATAACAACCACACCTAGTGCATTCCCATAAGTCTTCCTCAGCTATATACAGGAAATCAGTTAGTGCTGCCAAAGGTTTTGCTCCACTTTCGAGTGACTGAGACAGCTGGTTTAAGTGACCACAGTTAAGATACTGGACACTACAAGTCAGCGGCACCTGAACTTCAACACCTGGTAACCTCCCTCAGCGCTGGGTTCCTGCTCTGTAACACACCGAGTAACTGACGTCGGTTTTTCTTAGAACCCGAGCTACACGGAGACCGAAGCAAAGCGTTTTCAGACACCTCTGCTGCCGGAGCGGAGCCCCTCACGGTGAGGGTGACAGTGGCCCGAGAGCAGGCCGGAAACGCGGAGCCCGCCGCGGGCTGCGCTCGGGGGCAGCCTCACCTGGTCGGACCGGCCGGGCTGCCGCTCGTGCTGCAGGCGGCGCGGCCGCTCCCACGGCACCACTGCAAGGGAAAAAGCGACAGGATTAGCGGCGGCACGGCGGGAGAGACCGGCCACGCGAACAGCCCGGACACGGCCACGCCGGTCGAGAGGGGGAAAAAGACAAGGCAGAAGCAACGCACCGGGCACCAGCCTCCACCAGGCCCGCCTCACAGCCGCCGCTGCCGCCATCAATGACGCC